TGTTAGTTAATAAATGCTAAACTTCCTGTGCATTACAGCAGCTTGCACTGAGGTCATCATCATTACCAAATTGCCATCTCCCTTGTGCTTCCAATGCAAAATATTTCACTTAACCCATACTTACATCTGCTGTCAAGATCCTGCTAACAGATGGTCCACTTTTAAGAGAGGGCTTATTAGGTGCAATGGAGACTCTAAAAGCCCCTGTAATGAGATGTGTGCAAGGAGTGCTGCTCTTTAAGGCCTCTGCCAAACCACCTTAGCCCCTCTGGCTGAGCAGCCCCTGTAGCAGCTGTAGAAGGGTTATTCCCAAACGACACCTGTGAGCGTGAAGTGAATTCCGACCTGTCAATTGACCCTGACAAACTGTAGTCTGGTCTCCCAGCTTCATGCCATATAGGTAATGCTGCCTAACTCATGCAAGAAATTCTGTTCTTCTTCTGGTCTCTTCCAAGTCTCTGCATTGCTCAAGATTTTACGATTGTTATCTTAGCTCCCTGGAAAGTTGGCTTCACGCCCACCCTACTGTATGAGCTTAGGAGGTATTAAATAATTAACAAACAGTCAGATCCTCATGCAATAACACAGCATGTATGTATTTTACTATTTTTGTAATAACTAGGAGCTAGCAAAACCATCATAGAAATAAGTTAGGCAACAAGTAAAATGATAAATTAGATCATATTATTAAAAAAGCCAACTATGTATTTTTTCATATTACGTACATATAGGTATACACACACACATACTCAAACACACACACACCAGATAATTTGAGTAAAATATCCTGTGAAAAAATAAATTCATACAATGCTTTTGTTTTGAAATTGTATTTTAAAAGATTTATTCGCTTTTGGGATGGAGGAATTTACTTTGCTTCCCTGATGCCAGAAGAGGGGGAGGGAGGAACTCCCTGTATGACATTATATGTAGACTGGTGCACACGAAATTTGGACTCGTTTGGATGAACCAAAATCCACAGCCTTGGCAGACATGTCAATGTCTTTTAATTTCATGTCAGATGGGTTAGGAAATCTTTTCTGTTTTTCCCCCTTTGGAAATGGAACAAAGTTTGATTCCTTAAGAACTAAAAGTTATACAATAGGTATCTCGTGAAATTTTCACTATACAACAGAAATTCTGTTTCCCCAACAAGCAACAAATGCAGAATAGCATTAACAATAAAAGGACCTAACACAGTGGACGGTATTCAATGTCTCCAATTCTTGGAAAAGCAAGTCTGGCAGATCTTGATTATTAGGAATTAGCAAATTACCTCAACATTCAGCCATCAGAGCCTTTCAGTAGAGTTAATTGCACAGCGTGTCATCTTTTTTCCAGAATTTTGTTCCAGTCATAACAGACTCAATCCAGAATTGTGGATTGCTTCAAAAAAGATATGTTTTTCAAAGGCAGTGTTTAGAAAATTTATCAGCTACACAGCTGTAAGAAGATAGCTTCAAACATAAATCGCTTTTAGAGTAAAAGCTGCCAAAACTGGGTTTTTTTAAGAAAAATTACAGGATAAGAGAGGAAATGGAGTTCCTATTAGCAAAGTGAAATAATCCCTTGCATGTTAGGAACAAGGTAAGTGTTTACATCTATTTTTAGCATTTGCTTCTTCAGAAGTCCCTCGATGATGGGGAAGGACTGGTTGGCAATTGAGAAAAGGTCCAGTGACAGCTGACAATGTTGGTGACAACAAGAGTGAAAGGAAAAAGCTGCCCCAGGTTATCAACCTTTTATAGGGTTCGTAATATATACCCAGAAAAACTGACATTAGTATCACTTACAAGAGGTAGGAATGAGAGATGATCTGGTGGGAGACACAGCATTTGTCTGGTTTTAGCTTGCTGGTTCACAGAGTTTACTTGGTTCTTGACTTGATGGAGGAGACTTGAAAACAGCAGCCAAAAAGCTCAAGCACATCTGCCATTTGACTGCCCGTGGGACCTTCATGAGCCACTGCAGCTAAATCCCCACTGCCCTACAGAATGTAAACCAAACTTCATTAATGGTCCCTTTTCACTCTCTGCGTACTTCTTCATACTGGGCCTTGTGAAAGAACCTCCACAGGGCAGCTGATGTTTCTTGCACAAGGCTTCTATAGAAGGGATTATCCTCCACTTAGCTATAGGCTTTATGCTCCCTGTTCCCTGGACTTCTGTGTAACATAGCTTAGCCAGGCTTCATTTAGCTACCCTACTGTCTTTTCAGATGAGATGTTAATATAATTCAGAATGTAACCAAAGATCACCTAACAGCAAGTAGTTATTAATAGTGACCTATTTTCTCAGATCAAATTATATTACCCACAGCAATAGTCAAGGTTATCCCTATAGGGCTGTGTGTGCATGTGTGTATATGCACACACATGCACCCCCCTGAGTTAGTTCAGCACACTGGTGAAATTCCTTGTACATAGAAAGAGCACAGATTTGCGAAGCAGATTTGCAACCTAGGCTTTCTGCATTTTAAAAACATTTTCCACAACAGTATAGTACCCAATTTTGGTTGAAAACTGACAGGACCTTGACATAAACCCTAATGCAAGCTGTTACTAACTATATATATATATTACAATATAATACTTGGCATTGAAGTATAGTATCCTAAGAAAATTATTGCAAGATAATTCCACAGATGATTGTACTGTCTTTATTTTAATTACAATTGGCCTCTGACTAGTCCTTTCAGATTTAAGTATCAGTGCATTATGAGATTATAATTACTAGAGGGTTAAATAATCTACATTTTTAATGAATCTGGTACATTATCTGGACATAAGTTAAAGAACAGATGCTACTACTAATTTGGGCTGATCTGGATGCTTTTGTAATAGTTGAAGATTTTTTTACCAAACAAACATAAAAAATGTAATAAACCACAACATACTTTAAACAGTTTTTGCAAAGAAAGAGCTAGAAGACCACCTTCTTACAGAAGCGCTAGTTGTAGAAAAGAACCTTTGACTGAAAAATCATTAAGTCGTAGAATGTAGTAGAATAAGTGAAAAGTTCCTAGAGCTATCTGAGAAACTACAGGAACTAATCAATGAAGTCAACTGGGCTGCATTTTTAAATGCAAGTATTTGAGTAGAAGATAATATAACATTTCCTTAGGTTAGAGATGAAAACTATTCGGAATCTGAAGCTCAAAAAAGAGAAAAAAAGTATTTGAATGAGCTTGAAATGTCACTGGAAGAATAACCATTGGAAAAAAGATGACGATAAACTGATAAACAAACCACATCCTGAAAGCCAGAAATGCCCAAAATGAATTACTGGGCCTGGAAAATATTTTTTTTTAAAAACAAACAAAAAACAACCAAACAAAAAAAACCCAAGAAGTTTTTTAGTTTTGACACATGAACAGAGTAACTAGTTACAGCTTGCCAGCTGCTGCACTTCATTAACAATATCCATGGTTCTTGCCCCTCTTCCACTAAAAGATAAATTTCTTCAAAGTACCTTACATTTACCACAGTGTAAATGTCAGTTACTGTGGAGCATCTGACAGGGAATGACTTGCTCCTTTGCAGCAAATTGCTTATCTGTTCCATATTCATATTCACCTCTACAGTCATTTAAAACAAGCTGAACAAGGAAAGAAATGACACTACTATATAGGAAAGATGAACTGAAGGTTAGAGGTAAGCAAGGATATGGCTCTAATGCTAAACAAACACATATCCACTTTTAAAAAAATAAGTATGATGTTAATGGCATAGTTGTATTGACAATAGTAGAGCTTTGTAGTAATGCAATAAGGATTTTCAGTTTCAAAACCTACTGAAGAGTTAAGCATAAGTAAAAAGCAATGAGAAAATCAGGGGTATTAACTGCTATAAGCTAAGAAATGTAGTGTACCAAGGCTTGTAGGGTGTACAGGCTTCACTTGTACCAGGCTGCAAGAATAAACATACCAATCACACATTCTTTGGGTTATTTGCTGGCACTGGGAATAGGAACTACAAATAGACAGCAGTAAACAATATAATTATATGGTCAATATGATGTGTTCTTCTAATTACTGACACAGTATGATACATTTCAATGAATGAAATAAAAAAATGGAACATGTAGTGGGATCGTATAATCAAGTATTTAGGGATGACTTGAGGAAGGCTGCTGCTACTAATGTACCTGAACTGATCAGAGGAAACCTGGACATACTATCTGATCACAGAAAGGGCGATAATGCCCAATGGCCCAAAGCAATACAGGTGTGAAAAGGTACATGACGGCTATGAAAGACAACAACAACAACAAATTAAAAAAAAAAATTAAAAAAATCAGTGTTTTCTAATTACTTCAGGAAGGTAAATAGTAGAGAAGGAGGATTAGTGAAAAATCAACTGAGCAAAACCCCCTGGCATTGGCAAAATGTTGTGGAAGGGTGGTATAGACTCATGGAAAACACCTCTAGTTTTCTTCCTTTCCTGCCCCTTCCTTCTTTCCCCTTAAGACCTGCTTATCCATGTACCAGCTGAGGAAGACAACTTTTTAACAATCTTCATGCAAGACAGGAGTTGTGAAAAATTTCAGGATGTAACATTAGAAAGCTTCCAAACATCAGAGGTGTTTTTGAACAGTCTCCAAGAAGAAAAGAATGGGGACAAGAAGATACAGTTGTGAAATGCAACTTGATATTCTTCTGAATAATAAACAGTGGTAGAAAACAAGATTAAATTATCTTGGTTTTTCTGAATTATTTATTTTGCTATTGTGGTTCTATAAGTATTAGACTAGTTGCCTACCAAGAAATATATGAAGTACTACCCTTCTTTAACACCTCTCCAAAGGCCATTAGAGAATAGCTTTCTAGAATTTTTTAAAAAACATTTACACCATTAGATATTATAGTTTATTCAAACAGAATCTATTTGTTGTGAGGAAACAAACAGGGATAGGAAATCACTGCTGGGCTTTGGCAACTATATTGATAAAAAGTAAAATTTAAAATTTTATGTGACAAACAACTGGACAGAACATAACCAATGTTGTCTCAAAAATTTAATATCAATCTGAAGGAAGACAATTTTCTATTCAAAATAAAATGTGACATAATTTTACAGCATGTAAGTTTAAAAGAAACTTATCTTCAACTGCTGCATTAATCAATCCCTATGAATATAAATAATCTGATTTAATCACATTTGTCATTTCCAGTTACAGTTCAGCAATTACAAGTAAATACTTGTTACTAGGCTAGAGTCATTTTTTGTCCTGGTCTAAATGCTGAGCCAACTTGTCCTTTCCTCTTCTTGGGATTCTGAAAATTATCATACCTGGAAACAGAGAAATATGTTAGCGAATTCTTATGCAAAGCCTTTGTTTGATGCCTCCTCAGATACACATTAATGCAACACAGAACTATAAATGTTTACATGTATTTTTATGGAAACGAAGAGTGCGTGCCTCCTCAGACTTGGGGACCTGAAAGAGTTTTCACTCACAAACCTAACTCAGAGTTCTCTGCCCTGCTTCCTCTTTTATTTATTTTTGCTTTTTGAGGCTCAGGGGGAAAGGTGGGACAAGGAATAGATGTGGGTAGGATAGTATAGACTCCTGGGAATCATCTCCCATTCTCCTCCTTCCCTGTCCCTTCCAAAAAAACTTTAAGACCTGTTTATCTATGTATCAAGCTAAGGAAGACGAGTCTTAACAATCTTCATGTCAGAAGAACCTGCTGGTGAGATCACAGAACATCCTGACACTAGTTTCCAGCTTTTTCACTCCAGTCTTTTCCAAGTCTAAGGAGACACATTCTCCCCTTCTGCAGATTATTGCCTTCTCCCAAACACAGCATCTGCAAAGGCCATTACAGAGAGTCAAAACCTAGCAACTTGAAAATATGAGGGGCTACTACTCAGTGGGAGCAGGAAGGACCTAGCTCTTAAGTCTCAGAGAATCGGTGCCTCTTTGTACTGGTACAGCTCTGAACATAATACAAGGGTTTTCTGGCCTGTGATTAGAATTTCTAGGTCCTACATTAATAAAATCAATAAAAGACAATGCACCAGTAAAATATTTTGTATGTAATTTAGTATTTCTGAAAAAAACTGCTGTCAGAAGCTATTCAACTCTGCCTTTCCCCACATTAAATAACTATTGTGTTTCTGATAAATAAGAAATGTGAAAAGACCACATTCTCCACTGAACACACAATTACAAAAAAAATTAATACTTACAGTTCAGTAAAATTCTTCCAGTCATCTTGGCTAATGGATGGTCTTATACCCTCAAGTGCAGTCATCAGATGGGACTGAGTAATAATTAAAGTGTTCTTGGCAAGCACTGACTGATTAAGGGTGCTGTCCTCCTTGAAAACAGAGCCATGAACAGACAATGAAAAATTACCACAGAAACAAAGACATAGTGCCGTGACTATCAGTAACTCTGGAACTTCCTCGTTACATGTACAGACAAATGTATTATAAATACAATCACAACTCCCCCACCCCCTCCAGTATTAATAATACAGAAATAACTATTTAGTTTTATGAATGTTAACATCTGCCTTATTCCTCCTCAAACTAGGCATTATTTATCTTTCCTATTTTTGTTACATTATATTTAACATTACTGCAGAAATTATTTATTGAAATAACAAGAAGTGTGGGAAAACAATAGAAAAGTGTTAAGACTAAATGATAAAAAAAAAGCCATACTCCATTCTTGCTTCTGTAATTGGCTTTGATAGCATTGATTTCTGTCCTCAGGTGCTCTGTTTGCTGCTCCTGGTTATTTTCCAGGGAGTCTTCTTGAGAAGCTGTTCTAAGCATTGAGGGTCGTGATGACGTGTCTCTCTGAGTCACGCTGGTAAAATCATGACTTATAGAGTTTGGTCCAGACAAACACGAAGAGCTCTAAAATGACCACAAGGAGAAATACATTAACTTATGGATCCAAAAGAGCGACGCCACCATTAAGATTTAGCCTACAAATTTAATTCAGTATGCACTTGCCCCCACTGGCAAAAAGAGTACTTTCTCTTAAAAATATATCACTGACATAACCTTCTAAACAGAATATTTACGTTAATTTGCTATGGTGTTTGAGGGAAAGTACAAATTTGAAAATAAAGTGTTTAATCTTTAGAAAAGGTCTAAATATTTTTGCAATGTTCTATCTCAAAAAGAATAAAGGTCTACTAAGTCCATTGTTTTATTTATTTATGAAAATCAGCGGTTCTGAAATCTGGGCAAGTTTATGTAGTTAGCTTTGGAGTGACTCATAATTTAAGTATTAATCACCTCAAAATTCTCTGTGCACTAGATAAGTGTGAACTTTCAAGTTCAATAACTTTAAGAGATCAAAGTCCTTGTAGCCTTGCTGAAAAACTTTCACAGCTAGAAGAAAATTGAGGTCTCTAAAGATACATTAATGTAACACTATCATCTGCAATGCAAGATAAAACATACAAAAGCACCTTAGCAGTCAGTAAGTAGCTCTCCATTGTCAAGGTAACTTATTTTTGGCTTTAAGAATCAATGCAAGACAGTTTTGAAAACAAGTCTAACAGCTTTGATAACTAACCTGTAATAGCAATTCTACAACAGATCTTGAAAATGAATGTCCCATGGATCACATGCAAACTCTGAAGTCATCTGTTCACCATAAGGAGCTCAGAGGCAGCATATTCTGTTTTGCTTTCCTGGCAGTCAAGCGAGATGAGCTATGCAGGTGCTGGGTAGCCAACCAGCACGTCCCTATCTGCAAACTAGCCAGAGAACATGCAGCTTTCTGTCCAATGTGATACTACAACAGGAATTCTCCTTCTTAAGAGCAACGATGGAAGCTAAGGTTTAATTGTGTGGTTTACACAATCCTATGGTCAGATTATTCCATTAGTGCACACTCTACTGGAAACTGAAAAATGTTTGTTGGTTCTTGGGATTATTACTTAATTCTTGAAAGCTGGATGGTCATTATTTAGTAATAAAACTAACTTTAAAAAAACCAAAACAAAACAAACCACCCACCAAAAAGTTGAAAACTGTTTTAGTATTGAACTTTGGTCAAAGGCAACAAGCCATTAGACCAAACAGTAAGATCTAGTATGAATGCAGTTTGCTTGATTATAAGGTATCAAGCAGTATTTTGTGATTTTGATTTTAAGTCGCAGAGAAGTCCATGTTGTATTTTGCCAGATCACATCCTTCCATCTTCTTCCCCAACAGGGACCACAGGTATAAGCTGAACACAGTTTGAAAGACGAAGCAGATACAATTGTGCTATAAAACTATACCATTTGCCTAGTTCAGTTTTTCTGCTTCACAACTGACAATATTTAGAAAATTCAGAATATTAAGCGAGTAATTTACCAGTTCTGAAGGAGTTCCATTTCCCAGCTCTGATTCATAAGAGCTTCCAAAATAAAGACGATACATGTTGGACTTTGGATCTTCAGGAAGCAAGTCAGATATGTCTAAAGAAATAAGAGATTGGTCTAGCCCTGCTTCTCCATCTATTGCCGAATCATCTGAGCCACTGCTGTGGTTTAGAAAAACCATGGAAGAGAGACTGAAGTCGCTATCGGAACTAGAACCAAAATCCTGTGACAAAGAACAGAAAATTAGAAGTGTTCACTCATAATAATTGCAATCTGAAATATGTTTAAAAATTTCATATACAGTGCAAATGAAAGTATTGATTTCCATCTGACTCTAGTAATCTGTCTTCCTCTGGGAGTATATTTCTAAATATTGTGCTAAGAAAATCCAATGCCTTTAAGCAGAACTTTCTGTCTTCATGCTAGAAAAATAACTGAGGAGATAATCTTAAGGTTTTGTTTGTTCACTTTGAACTGTCTCACTCACTAAAGCAAGTGCTGGGAAATGATGCACATTTTCTCTTGTAGAAATGTATCACTTTTATCTCAACCATTCCCTCCAGGCAATTTAGTATTGAAAAAAACTGAATCTTGTGTAAAGCACTTCAGGAGATTGCAGTGAGTCTGCTTTTACAGTGCCTAATTGCTGTACTCTTCTTTAGTGCAGTCAACACATTTTACGTGCTGATGTGGAAATCTCAGTTGTTGCTTTAGACTGGTGTCTGCAAACCTTTTTGATCGTACACTCCTATCAATAAACAATTTCTGAGCACACTCCACCAAATATATGCATATTTATTTATTTGTGATTTACATATATGTACTATTGAAGTTCTAACGTTTTCTTCCTGCACCTCAATGGATTGTCTTGTGCACCCCATGGAGTGGGTGCAAACCACTCTGTAGATGACTGCTTTAGACAATGACCTCCTCTAATGACAGACAGTCCTCAAGTATCCTTACAACTGCTTACTGATGCTACAAGTGACAGGATTGTTAGGGAAGGTATGCTGGAGATCCTTCCCAATACTAAGAGTTGCACCCTCAGAGCCCCATCCTTGGTAACAGCTGGGGAAAAAAGAACCTAAGAGGTGTCCTTGGTTTTGTAACCCAGACCCAACCCTTCCCTGTGGTCTCCAAGTAGTGGAAGTCATGCCTGCCCCTTTCCAGCTAGAACCAGAAGACAGGCATTAAAAAATGTGAGGAGAGATGGCTGAATAGAAGCTAAAAGAGGAAAGGACCTGTCAGTCACACAAGGGGTATAAACCAAGGGGGGGATCCTGTACCTTGGAAGTGCAAGTACTAGTTGGTGCCTGGAAGATGAGCCAGAGCAGGCCACTTCAGATATCACCATCCTCTCACCAGTTCTCTCCTGACCTCAGATCAAACTCAATCTTTTGCTTTCTTCAACATCTTTCAACCCACCAATCTCTTGTTTTCTTCATCATCCAAAGATGTGCCACCTCAAAACTGAATTTGCTAGCTACTCCTAAGAAACTCTGAGTGGGATCTCTCCTATTGATCTGCCAGTCGTTCCTCATAACAATGATAAACAGATTTGGCTTACATAAATCTAATTAACATTAAATAACTATCATAAAATGAAAAAAAACTTGTTTAACAAGTATATAAACTAATTTGTTACATTATTCTTGCATTTTTCTGCAAACATATTAAGATTTTAATCCTCTGTATAGAAATACAGGAAAACTAAATCTTATTAAACATAATTTTACTAAAAACAAGAAAAAAGGATAAAATTAATCCTTTCAAACATATCAACATCAAAAGAGAAGAGACTTCTTTTTATATCAGTTTTATTTACCTGTGTTAAACCTGAACCTAAAGTAGTATGGATTGCCTCTAACTGGGCATTGTACAATAAAGCTTTTAGGTCAGCCCCTGTGAACCGTTCTGTTTTTGCTGCCAAATCCTGAAAGTCGACATCATTTGCCAAGGACAGAGAATGACTGAGAGCTTTTAAGATTTCATAGCGTGCATTCTGTAAAAAGGGAGAAAAAAAATGTCAGTAAAGCAACCCATTATTTCCCTTGTCCTGATTGCTAGATAGTGCTTTGGCCCTGTCACAAGCAACTTCCTATCTGAGGGAGGAAGAATGTTTTTAATGAAGATACTACTCTAATAATAGTATATATAGGACATACTGTAGAGTAATCAATACATTTTGTTACATTTTACCAAATGCAGTACATGGAGACATATATTTCTCTAAATATCCAGTTCATATCTGTGATTTTTATATATGAAAAATATAAAAATATGAAGGTGAACTCTGCTACTTATATGTCCTTTTTCAAAGAGGAGTACAACAAAACTGAAAAACTTCTGTTTACCTAAATGATCATATTCTAAATCAGAAGTTTACAAAAAAAAAAAAAAGTAAAAAAAAAAGTATAACTGTGTTCTTAAGGCACAGGATCATCTTCTTCATGCGTCCTTCAGAATTAAATTATGTGGTATTTGTTAAATGTGACAACTAATCTGAAAATGAATAGCATTATTTTTTTTCTCATAAAATGGGGAATCAAAGACACATTGTACAGCCTCAAAGGCCCGATCCAAACCCCACTAAAATCAATAAGACTCACTCCTTTCCTAACTAGTGACATACCTGACTTAAAAAGAGCTTGAATATTCCAAGTTAAATATGGGTAAAGAAGATTGGGATCAACTGGATTCAGAATCAAACTGCTTGGGAAACTTCAGATTATTCAAAACTTGGGTTGGAAATGGCTATGGTTCATCACTTCAAGTGAACAGCATATCCACTGGACTCATAATTCAGGGAAAGATGCAGGACACGATAAACACTATCCTGCATCTGATTTCTTTCTGCAGACCAGTTTCCTTTTTAAATTTTTTTTTTTGAAACATGGAACATGATTTGAAACATCAGGAACATGATTTGATCCTGAAGACTGTGGTAAACAGCCTTGTCTTTCTCTAGTTTTATGCAAACACATAAGATCAGTCAATTTATATTGTTATACGTATAAGTGCAGTTGGGTAATCAAGTCCACTTTGTCCAGGTTTGAAATGCCACTAAATATTAAGAAAAGCAGAATAAAGCTCATTAGTTTGATTTTTTTTTTTCCTTGCCTCTCATGTAAAATGTTTTGTTTCCTCACCTGATCAGGAGGTGGACAGTACAGGCACTTATCCAGTCGACCTGGCCTTAACAAAGCAGGGTCAATCAGATCTGGGCGACTAGTAGCAGCTAGCACATAAACCCCTTAGGAAAATGCAGAAAAATATAATTAATACCTGCTAAACTTTTGCATGAAAAGGAGCACACAGATGAATTATTACCTTGTAGGCCTTCCACGCCATCTAACTGAGTCAACAGTTGGTTAACTACTCGGTCTGTAACTCCTGTGTTGTCATGACCTCGCCGAGGAGCAATAGAGTCAAACTCATCAAAAAAAACAATACAAGGCTTAGCTGCCTGAGCTCTAAAAGAAAAAAAAAAAGGCAACACTTAAATTCTGTTTAAGGCTGAGTCACAGGTAAAACTGTTTAGAAATACTAAAGGCAATTGCTTTTTGCCTCAGAAAACAGTTATCTTTGACAAGAGAATAGAAAATCTGTTTTCTGTAGAAATATTCTGAAGAACTGGACTGCAATGGAATCACTCTATAATTTCTGAAGTACTTAACTGTTAATATACATGAAAGCTCTAAAAGCCAGTCACTGCAGATGAGGTCTTGGCTTATGTACATCTAACACAAAGACTGCCTACACTTTAAACTGCGTGAGAAGGAAAGGCTACGTAAGATCTGCTTACATTAGTGAGCACTGAGGGTCAGCAAGGGCAGATCAGTAAAAACAAAGCAAATGGCACTGAGGACCTCAATACCAAGTCTAGTATGATCCTATGTACTCAGTGTTTTCCAAAACAATTCTGTGATGTGAACCAATGCACTGCAAATGGAGAGAACTGGGAGTTCAGTTTCAGAAGTGCACTACTGATCTGAGCTGAAATGCTCAGCTCTTTAATAATGATGGCCAAGTTGAACTTGCCAAGATCTGAACATCTGGTTTGGCATAAGTCATTATTTCAGGTGTTTTTGTGATCTGATGCCAAGTCTTTTCTAGGACAACAAAACTATTTCTTAGAGCTTCAATCAATAAAATTAAATTATAACATCACAAATCTTTGCAAAGCCAACCTGTTAAAGATATCTCGAACTGCTTGCTCGCTTGCTCCAATATATTTGCTCAGCAGCTCTGGTCCCTAAAAAAAAAAAAAAAAAAAATCAGAAAAGAACACTCATGATTTTTTTCTTAGTTTTAAAGGGTAATTCAACATCAGCATAGATTTCACATACTACAGTGACCTTTCTTGTGATCAAGAGAGCGGCATCTCTGAAGATGAGCTAAGGGGCCTAGATAAGCCAAAATAATCTTTTAGGCATTCCAACTTATTTTAAAGTAATAATTTCAATTTTTCTACCATAACAGAACATGTGTTACTGTATCACAAGGCAACAGCTTACACTGTATTTTGAAAATATGTTTAAAACGCATAGCTCAGTTTCATTTTCCAGTGGAACCAAAATCCAGGATCTTTTTGTAAAAAATGGGAAACTAAGAACATCTAATTAAATTTGATAATTCTGCCTAATGAATAATTATACAAAAAAATCTCAGTAATAAAACTGTGAAGTTCCAGAAATCAGATGGCAAGATATCCAGAGACATACTAAATTTGAAATGTGAGTTTCCTACTTTGGTATTTTGCCCTCACAAGCAATATTCAGGGGTATTATGTTAAGCTATTCCACTCAGCTAATAAAATTAATCAATTAATCTTCAAAATCTTGCTACCTTTATGCTGATGAAATTCATTCCACTCTCTCGAGCAACTACTCCTGCTAACAGTGTTTTTCCTGTTCCAGGTGCTCCATACAGCAAGACTCCTGATCTCTGTCGTATGGGCAGGTTTGCGAACAATTCTGGATACTGGAAAAGAGTTTCAACAAGACATATTCTAAAATACGTAATTATTCTGCAGTGTACTGTAACATCACTGATTAGTGTTGACTTTTGTCTAAACAGAATGTGTCTAATTTCTTTTATCCACATTATTATCACAAGAGTTCATCTGGATTGTTTTTAGTTTACTTGGGGCTGAAGCAGGTTCCTAGGCTTCACAGGTGCTTAAAATACAAGTAAGTGTCATTTTTTACCAAGAGGAAATGGGGCAGAAGAGGGACGCACTACAACCAGGGGTCCTCAAACTACGGCCCCCCAGGGTCCTCAATCCGACCCACCGGTACTTACAGAACTCCCTGTCCCCGTCCCCCCCCGCCGGGGGTTTGGGGGGAACCCAGCAGCCGCCGGGACTGGGCCGGAACCAGCGCCCCGTCCCCGACTCCCCGGCGGCGGGCGAGCGGCGCGGGCATCGCCTCTGCCGGGCAGGCTCAGTCGGCAGCCTGTGAGCAGCCGTTTTCCCGAATGAAACATCTGAAATCTCCAATCAGACCCAGACTGACTGATGAACACTGGCATCACTTGCTGCGACCAGCAGTGACAAATATGGAACCTGACACTGACCATCTCATTGGCCAAAAGCAGGCCCATAGTTCACATTCAAATATTATTTGTTTTTGTTGATTACAATTGCTCTTCATTTTAAATATTGCATTCTTTTTTCCTGGTTTTTGTGCACTACTACAAATAAAATATGTGCTGTGTGCATAGGAATTCGGTCATTCTTTTCCAAACTATAGTCCGGCCCCCGACAGTGTCTGAGGGACAGTGAACCCGCCCCCTGTTTAAAAAGTCTGAGGACCCCTGCACTAGAGTTTCTAATGTACACATTGGTATTTCTAAATTCCTATTGTAATCACCTGATATGATTAAATTATATAGGTATACAGTAAAAAATTCTGCCCATCATACAGAAAACTGTTCAGTCATTTCTCTGAAGACTGAAATGGATGGCTCAACTCAGTGGTGGAAGTTCTAAGCAAGGCAGAAAGGCCAAAGCAAAATAAAGGGAAAGTGATGGATTGTCAGTACTCCTCTAGCAAAAGCACTGCAGAAGACAGGTGGAAATCTTACCTTTACAGAGCCTAATCACAAACCCTGCCAAAAAAGAGAGTGTAGCAAAGGTGATATGATCAATACTGTAATATTCTAGGGCAACACCTGGTCTGTAGAAAAGCACAAGCTTTTCTTACATTGCCTTTGTATTTGGAAGAGGGAAGGAGAAAGTTTTCCAGCAGATGAAGACAGTTGACTGGGAAGCTACAAAAGTACCTTAAAATCATACCTGTCATCTTTCTGTCAAATACCCTGTCACACCCTGAAAATCATTCTTCCCCTGCTAACATTATGTACAAAATTCAGGTAACTAATTTAAAAGAACTAAGTACCTTTGCAGGTAACATGATGGTATCCATGAGTATCTGCTTCACATCTTTTAAGCCACCGATCCTGTCCCAGCCAATGTCCTTAGGTTTATGAAGGTTAACATTTCTCAGAGCTAATGGAGTAAAATCTTTTAGAGCTTTCTGAAAGTCAGTAGTTGACAGATTCAATTCTGCTTAAAAAAAA